AGAAGAAACGAGGCACAATCCAAGAAATTTTTAGGACTGAAGTGTTCCAATGCTCTGAACCTTGCTGGGCCTCTTAGAAACACTTTTTACTATGCTGAATAATTATAAAATTCGTGATTAATTGCATAATAATAATAAAACTATAAACGGTTCATACCGTACTTATTGACCCGACCCACATTCGGTTTGGCGGAAGAACGTGCCTTGCTTCCAGCTTAAGCTGAAAAGGAATGCCCAATTCACTTTCAAACGTATCCAGCGGAGCTAACGTACCAGACGCTAAGATTACGGACCTGGCGACTGAACTCACATGGGCAAAAGCCTAAAAATTTCACTTCATCGCATTTAGGCAAATAACAGCAAATTTCAAAAACAACACTTACAATCGCAGGGTTCATGCACCAGAAATTAACTGTGATGCGAATGCCATTGTCAGAATCAGCTAGGATCGAATCCTGCGAATAATTCTGCTCGTACGCGTTTTCTTTCTTTAAACAAAGCCTCAAAACAGAAAAAAACCACAGAAGTTGCAAATTAAAAATAAGTTAATTTCATGAGTAACTGAGTTGTTTTCTACCAGTAGATGGAATGATGTATGCGGCATTGAATTTCAAAGCAATTGAAATCATTTATTTTTAAGTTGAGTTTTACACAGTCAAAAAATTATACTATGAACAACAACAAAACAAACAGTGAGTCGTCATTAGGACCGTTGCGCCAACGAACCATAGTTTTCTAGGATGGAAAACTACAGTTCTTTGCTACTGCATCTCATCGAGACAGTAATACAGTGATATAAAAAACGAACGTAACTGTGGTTATTTTATACTGGTGTTCCAATAACACATGTCATAACAGGGGATGCAGTGCCACGATAGGTTAGCAGTTTGCTTTTCACTTGAGAGGCGCCGGATTCAAACTCCATGCCCCGCGTAATTTTTCTCATATTGACTACTAATTCCCTGGAGCAAGGAATTCACCCGTGCTTTGGTGCAACTGGCCAAAAACGAATAGTTGGTTGTTGATCTCTGAACAACAGGGTCAGCATGGTATTCTGGTATAACCAAGCCAAAGCATACGGGAGATAGAGTCATGCTATCTGATGAGTGTGTCTTCTGTCTGTATAATTCGCCTTGACCCATCTGATAGCAGAATGAAAATCAGCATAAAATACAGAAATTAATAAAACAGAAAATCAAAAATTTACTCAACTGATCAGCTATGGTCCCAAAATCGGTCTTTCAAGATTACTGAAATAATTTAACTCATGGCCTTGCACAACAGTGCACACAAATTTGCTTAATGAATCATTAAAGCTTAAGATTATGCTTCATCCGCCTTCAGAAACAATGTTGACCAAATTTCAGAGATTAAGAAAACATCACTGGCAGTAATTTCATAGTCAAGCACTGATCATCGATAAACAACTCTGGCTCGTGCTTTGCTTCCAACAGAAAATTTTGCTTCATGCTAATTCAGTACGCAAAGTAATTGAAATTAGTTGCCTGACATAAGCGACAGCCAATCAATTTACTGTAACTGCCATATCCAGTCCTACTCTTCAAAATTAAAGCCTGCCCTTCTCCAAAGTACAGAATACATAGCAGGGCGAAGTACGTTTGAGTACATTAACATTAAATGTTGTTAATCTATTTATATCAGCATGGATTGAAACAGATTTGCGGACAACCCAAACCGGTAATACCGCGCTTTATTGGAATTTTGTAAGCCTACTCATTTACTTAAGCCTCAATACTGTTGCGTGCATATTCAAGTTTACGAGACACAGCTCTGAAGTAGGCTGAGGCTTGGACAGTAACGCTATAGAAACTGCGCATTTCCGGTATGGACCGAAAGCAAATGAGTTTCAGTCCATAGCATTACGGGCTGGTTCATATATCAATGAAAGAGTTACCATTCTGGACGATAACAACAAACACATGAGCGGTACGACGGAAGTCACGATTATGAAGCGGTCGGCTAACGAAGTAGTTGCAACCAGGGACTAACAGAACTAATTTTATCTTAGAGGAAATGACGTTCGTCAGACATCACATAGACCAGACCTTACTCAGGATATGTCAAGTTGAAGGATCGTATTACTAGAGAAGCGTCTATATCTAACAGTAATCACAACGACCCATATATACCTCAGAGAAGAGCTACGAGTTCATAAATCCTGACATCTACAGAGAGCATCTACACAACGCAGTTGCTTAAAAACTTACCATAAAACCGTGGTATCCTTATCTGCATTTCCATGCGGCAGGGCGGGGATGGTGTCATAATCAAAGGAGTCATGCACTAAATATGGCGTATGATGGGTGAAAGTGATGTGTTGAAGTTATGCGATTAAATTCTTCTATCCCTGATTAACAAATTTTTTTGACTTGAAGCTCAGGTAGTATATTTTTTAAGTTAATATAAATTTACGCCTTGCGCTGATTTGACTGATAGGTCAGCCATCAGATGGGTCAAGGCGACTTGCAGCCATAAAAGGCAGTCATCAGACAGCATGGCCGTATGTCTGACATGCTTTGGCATCCCCACACCAAAGCACCATGCTGGCCACATTATTCGCAGGTCAAAGACCCGTTCTCATTTTTTTGGCTGGTTGACCAAAGCACCATGAGATGAATTCATTGTTCAGAAAAATTTTCGGTTAATAAAAAAATTCACACGGCACCTGCGTTTGAACCGGCACTCTAATGTGCAAAGCAACCTGCTAACCAACTGCGCCACTACCCCCTTCTCCACCGTCGATTTATGTAGCAAAAGCTATTTTGCACAATGGCACAGTAAATACGACCCCTTACCGGTAATCGAACAGATAAACATTTTCTTGGCAGTCTGAACCATGGTACAAGAATTCGAGACTGTATATGACCTTCTCGACGATTTTCAAGCTCCATGCCGAGAGCGCAATTGGTTTTTCCTGTTCTTGCTTTTCTTCGATTGCCTTCAGCACAGCAAAGGCACTCTGAAATTTGATTCTTTCAATGTTAAAAAATGGAAAGCAGGAATGAGATAAATGACTTAAGCATTTTTCCCATATTGTTACCAAGCATTTAAGCTTCAGATAGAGAATGAAATTGTGTATACTGATACCCCACCTTTTGGCAACGCTGGCATTCATAATACGGCAATGTAGTCAGTCATTCAAGATGCAAACCTCGTTGTCGTATTGCTACATATACCGCAGTGTGATTGTTTTCGTTTATTATGATTCTATCGAAAAAAATTCTTTCTTCTATAATAGGTGCCTCAAATCAGATCAGACAACCTCCTATTAACATAATTAACTTCCGGCCACTGTACCTTCACGGCAAAAACTAAGAACATATTCACTGCTTACGGAGAACTTCGTTGCGCCATCGGTTACACTATAGGATACGCAAGAAATTTCGAACATTGATATCACTCAAGCTCTTCATTACATCGCGCTGGCTAAAACTTTTTACTCTTCTGAGTTTCCAAAAATATTCATACACGTATGCTTAAATATGGAATGTTGTTGTTTCAGTTGTTTTGCCATAGTTATCTCAGGCTAACACAGCTTAAACAGTACAGTAACTCACACTAATTATATCTTATCATTAGAAATGGTACTTGAGATTGATAGTAGACAAAATTCACTGCTGAACAAAGGTTATATTCCTCTTCGCAAGCAGGTCTGACTCAAAGAGGTGTTTTCAAGCTTTTACTGTCTTCCAGCACTTAAGGACCACAGATCTTTCAATATTATACGTGACCACCATTAATACAGCAGTTTCCAGAATATTTACATATCTCTCATACAGGTTGTCAGAATTCGAAGATGCCAGTCAAATACGCCGCTTCACTTCAGGATCAATGTAGCTGTTGTTAGCTAACACAGTTCTGAGGCACATGAAATGGTCCATCTCGCTCGTCGTAAAACTTCTCATAGTATCTTTGGAGTGACGACTAGCGAGAGCCCTCATAATTCGCGTCTTCTTGACGTTAACTTATAGTCTCCCTCCCATAGCGGTGCTGTACATCTTGTCGATGAGTGAAGCTCATGGAGCTTCCCCGAATATCAGACTACCTCGACAGATCGAAGATACCTGCAAATCGAAGGTACAGTAGGTTCAAAAATAAATGAACAAATGAAAGAATGACTAAAGGAATAAACAAATGACTGAAAAAATGGAAGAATGAATTATTGAATGAAACAAATGAAGGAATAAATGAATAAGTATACATTAATTGACGAGGAATTGAATGAATGAACGAATGAAGGAATAGGTGAACAATTATACGAACACAGGCGAAGGAAATAATGAACATATAAATGAATGAATGAATAAATGAATTCAGGCGAAGAACGAACGAATCAGTGAATTCTTTATTCTTATTGAGCACCTACTTGCAATGCACTCAGTGCGAGTCGGTCGCAGCTCATCTGCTTCAGCTGAACAAGAATATCTGCGCCTGACCAAACGTGCGTATATACACCGTATTCGCGGAATGTCAGTAATTCGTCACTGCTCTCGTGCTGCATCCATTTAATGACGCCCTCGAAGGCAGTAATTAAATCTTTCAGTGCTATGCAGACGTCTGACTGCAAGACGGAAATCTTTTCTGTCAAGCAAAAAAACCAATGAAGATTAGAGCAACTCAGTGAAGACAAGTAACACTCGGTCATTTACTGCACTGCTTGAGCTCCACGAGGGCTTTCGTCATTTCTTTCAGCGAAATGGTGAAACTCACCGCCTCTCTACAGATGTCCTCGATATTATGCGCCTCGTCCAGGATCACTACGTTATGTTTCAACGAAATCTGCATCGCATTGCGCACCAGCGGGTCTTAAAGGCATATTCATCGTGTACAAAGTACAAAGCAATTAATAACCAAGCACTATCTTACCCAACAAGTAATTGTACGGACAGAACACTAGCTCTGCGTCTTTTTTCAAAACGTCTGTGCAAGCAAAGTACGGACAAATCCTGTCGGCCCTGCACACATCTACGAGTTCTTCGATGTCCCATACGACGGGCTTACCAATCTTACAAACGTCCCCCTGGCCTTTTGAATGATTCAAATAATCCTCGATGTATAGTCGCAACGAACCTGGATTCTTTTCGTACTTTCGAAGGTTCTCTCGATAACTGCAGTGAGCCTGAAATGTAAACTCAGAAAAAATGCGCCATGTTATAAAACGAAAGCTGGCCGCTTACATTTGCATCATTCAGAAGCAGCTTACAAGCTTCCGTCCGATCCTGAGCTTTTCTCACCTCCAAGTTTATACATGTATGATCTCGACTTCCCAAAATGGTCATTCTGGAAAATGTCAAATTTATAGCGTGAGATCTAACAATCCACTAAGCAAACCAACAGAATTACTTTATATTACAGTATTCGGTCTTTTTCAATTCCCGTATGACTTGAAACAGCTGCTTATGAGTTCGGGTAGCGTAAAAAATGATCGGCTTTCTGCAAAAAAATAAATTCATTTTTAATCCACTGCTTGTTGCGTGAATTTTTATGACTTACCGTTGATTCTTTGTGGTCTGACGTTGTTCCTCTTCAAAGGTTTCAGCCAGTCTTACCTAAAATTAACATTTAAAGCAAAACCAAACAAATAAAATAAAAAAGACCTCCACTTTTTCAGCTATCCTTGGCAGCTTCCGTGGCTGGGAGCAGAAATCGTCGAAATTTTCGTCTAAATCGTCCAATATCGAAATTAAAACAGCAGTTATAACTTAGTTTTGCAGGCTTTACTCTCAAACGAGTCATGAAATTCAAATGAAGAGTTCTTTCGCTGAAGTTCTGCAGAAGGCTGGAGCTGATCGGACATCAGAATAGGTTTTTCGTAGACATCACCTAGAAAATTTATTTACAAATTCTATTAAATGGAGGCGGAGAAAAAAGTACATTTACTACTGTCTGAAAACTATGGAATGGTTTTGAATAATTCAATAAATATAAGATACAGCGCTAGAATACATAGAAGAAGTAGGAAAATGTACGCTTCTAAAGAACAACTGTGAGAAACAGTTCGAAACGTACAACAGATACAAGCTTGCAATCCATTTCGGTCCGTTAAGATTTTACCGTGGTAAGCAGATATGCCTCTATAAAGTTGCTAAACAAATGTACAACGATTCATGAACTAATTCAACATACAGATTATTTGGCAATCACAAACGCTGCACAACTCAAAGAGATTAAGCGCTTGATGTACAGTCAACAAGAGTAGAGTGTTAGCTTATATTTAGTCTTTCTCACCAGCCCAGTACTAATCAATTCTCGTGCTCACAGAGAGCAACAAATAAGAGGTGCGATGACCAAAGGCAACAGAGCAATCTATAAGAACTGCATCTCATGTTTGACATATAGAGTCTGCTATTACGCGAAGAAAACTATACTATTCTGCAAGGTGGCATCATACTATTCGCTCATTCGTCTCTGTTTTTTTTCTAGCTCTTGTCCTGTTTTCTCTTCACGTCATCTTTTTTTACATCTTCTACTTATTTTGATCCTTTTCCCTCCATAATTTCTGTTTTTCATTGCCTATTCTTTTTCTTTCTTCTTCTCTCCTCATTGTTCATTCGAGTTACTTCGTTTTTGTTCAAGACATCTTATATCTGCATATTTTCCTTGATTAAACCGTCTGCGTTAACTCGCTGACAGAATATCAGTAGCCCACAGTTCTCTATTTAGGGCTGTAGTCTATGTGTGTCATGAAAGAGATTGCTCAGAATGTTAGATTCAGAAAGTAGTAAGTTCGGTCTATACATCACATCTCGGCCTTGCATAGTCTATTTGACTTCTGAGGAGAACAACGTTTTCAAATCATGACCTGAAACAAGCCAGCATCTTCCGTGGACACAATATTAACTAAATAGAGAAATGAGATAAAAACAAATCGCTTACGAATTTCTTTAAGAGAATAGTTCATAAATTATCGTAGCAAATACTTGGAAATTACAATTTCCATTTCTATCACCTTATGCCAAATTATTTTTAACCCTCAGAGTTAGAAGTCAATTCGTGTAGCTGCCGGATCGGCGGAACACTAGAACTATTTAAAAAGTTTCCTTAGAATATTGTCCAGTAAATCGAAAGGAATAGCAAATATCTCTAATGAATGAATGGATAAATCCATAAACGGAGTATCGATATCGATCCTTTTTCACTTCAGTAACAAAAATTAATGTAGGTAATGAAGCTGTTGGCTAATTTACTAGTCAAAATTACAAAGATTTAGAGGCAGTTAACTCTTTTCACCTTAGAAAATTCCGCAAAGGGTTGACCAAACGGAGACTGCACTCAACGAAGAAGCAAAGGAAGCAGTTACAGTTGCCAAAATTCAATTTTAGGTTGTCTGATAATGAAATCCACTTAAGAGCAAGCATTTATTCAATTTACTTTCCATTTCTGCAGTGTTGCAGGAATATTCGTTAAACTTCTCAAAAATTAACATAGCTTTTGATACAACAAGGAAAGGAAGGTCTGCAACCGCTTGGACGTCAGTCTCAAATCTCGCATCGTTCCAACACAAAGTTTACGATGTGGAGTTCATCATCCCTTATATTTCAATATCATTGGTCAGCAGTGCCACATTTAATATACAAGTCCACAGATATACAAACAGAACTACAAATAATGTTTGTTCTTCTTCCCACACATATCTGACCAATTTCTCAGTTGCCAAAGAATACAAGGAGTAATCGAACCCATGATCTTCAGGCAAGTGCGAGATTACATGTAACCTCTGTTAAAATGTCATAAAAACGTTTCCTGCATTTCTGAAGTGAACATCTTCAAACTATGAAGCAAAATCTTCTTTTCCCCATAAATGCAACACTACTTTTTCTTCATATTCGTAACGCCATTCTGGTCTCTGGATGGCACCACTAAAGAAATTTCCAAATTAAGATTTGGTGGAACACTGTTAACCAGTGTGCCTAGCTTGTGACCATCTGAAGCGTCCCAAGTAAATAAAGGAAAATCCTCCAGGTATGGAGGTCGCCTGAGACAAATAAGCAATCGCGAATAGGTAGCGGTGAGACCATCAGGGAATGGCTGTGTTCGAGTTCAATCCTCAGAGAAAATGTCAAAATACCCAATGAGATTTTCATGTCGAGGCAAAAGTGACCCTCCTGATGGTTAGACGTCGATTAGTCAAAGGCTAGAAGAGAAAACTTCAATAAGAAACCGGAAGGAATTGGGGGACCAGTTTACGTGAAATTTCCAAAACTTATTATGTAACCGTCAGTCCTGCCAGCAGGTATCCAGACTTCACAAACTATGACAACATGTGTTGCGCCGGCCGATTCGTCATTGACTACCAACCGGTCCAGGTGATCCAGGGACACTGTAAACGCTGATGGAAGAAAGACTGCTTGAACGGTGAAAAAAAGCTAGCTGAGTTGCGGCTGATCGACAGAGGTGGAAAGCAGTGATCAGAGACATCATGGAAGCCGGCAACACCAATGATGGTTATAGCCGTAAAAGCAACCATGAATTAAAATTTTATAAATGTAAATTTCTGCATACCATGATATAGCATGCAAGGTAATGCAATAAAGAACAGAATAGTACGCATATTTTATTTTAGGGTGAACTTCATCTCCTAAGTGACCAGTAAATTATTTACCCTTGCTCGCACTTTGCAAAGTTTGGTGTCACTGAGAAAAGGCTCAAGATACCCGGAGCTACGCAGGAATATGTATCTATGGATCGTTCGTTCCTGTTTTCAGCAGAAGTTAGCCTGCTTTGTTACAATCCTTAGCCGATTTGCCACACCGCAGGACGTTTGAGATTTGCGACATCTGCTCATTTTAACATTTCGCATCCATCAGGTGATAATGACCAGGTTTAGTTTTCCACAAGTCATCAGTTATTCATTGTACGTTTCCAATTATCCAACCTGAACAGGCTTTAGATAAATTTTTTTACTCACTAAGGTTCTCTCACAACAAAAGTGGCAAGCAAAATATTTTGCATCTACCTTCCATAGCTGAAGATCCAAATGTGCTCCTAAAATCATATAATCTGGCCATAGTAAGGCTGTTGCTCCTGCCTCTGCTAGCCAAAGAATTTAGGATCTTTTCATATGCACAGTGTCGCTGCTGTCCTTTCTGATCTCCCCTTCAAAATGAAAAAATTTCATACTTCCTCGCAGATCTGTATCTCGATCTCACCTTTAGCAATTCATTCTCTTTTCCAGTTAACATTGTGGGGGGGGGGCAGTGGTGCAGTTGGTTAGCAGGTAGCTTTCCATGGCAAAATGCGGATTCAAACACAACACACGGCGTAAAATTTCTTATTAACTGCTAATTCCTTTGAGCAAGAATTTCACCATACTATACTTCAGTGCAACCAGACAAAAAACAAGTAGCAGTTCGTTGGCCTGCGAATAACAGGAATAACAGTGGTGTTTGGGCGTGGCCATGCCAAAATGTGTGAAACAATGGGCCTTCTATCTGATAAATGTGCCTTGAGGCTGCAATTCCCTTTTAGTACCTAACAGCTTATTTAAAATCAACACAGTGTGATTACATAAATTTAATTAAAACTAACTATTAATCTGCCA